ACCTAATTACATGGACAAGAAGGTAAAGGCCCTACCTTAAGTCTTGAATTACAAGAAGGAAAGCCCAATTTGCAATTAATCCTCCAAATCTATCAAGTCTCCAAGCAAATTCAAAGTGGAATCAAGTTCTTCCTCTCTCACACTCTCTCTCATGGTTTTGTCTCTCAAAATGGGTTGATAAATTGATATACCAAAATGTAATAAGCTCCAACATTGTTCTATGAGGTAGGCCACTAAGTGGCAAAAATGCAAATAAGGCCAACTCTTGTAATTTACATTATTTAATCTAATTTAATCATACCAAATGACATTTCAATTAAATATACTATAAAATCACATTAATTCCAATTAACAAAACACATTAATCGATTTCAGATTCGGCCGCCAATAGGGCCTTCAAATTGCAGTTTAAACCATAAAACATGGACAGATGATCTAACAGTCAACAGATAGAAATGCACTTAGGCTAATACACTCAATCACTCGGTTCAGAATTTCAGTCAATCAGTCAGTTAACATGATTAATCATAGATTAGCATTAATCAATGGTGAGGGTTGTCACAGAAGGGTTTGAAGGAAAAGGAAGGAGATCAATAATAAGAAGATTGGGAATTAAGTGACTTAAGCCTCTAACGTAAATTATTCATTATCTATGATTCTTTCTTTGAATTTGAAGGAGGTTAGTATTTGATTCTTGCTTCATTGGGATCATGGTTCATCACTTTGGTGTTTTGGAACTAAATTGGTGTTAAATGCATAAGAAGTTACACTCTCTTCATTTTATTGACATGTTTGAACTCAATTATGTGGGTATGGCCATGTGTATATGTATATGTTTATGTGTGTATGGAGTCGGGATCTCATGAATTGAGTTATGTTTTTGGTTATGGAATAAAGATCTAGTTTATATTTAGATCATCATGTGTTATACCTCATAAATACATGATTTTTGAACCATGTTTTAGCAATTAAAGGATCTATTTTGGTCCTTAGTGATGCTCACCAAAAATTGAGTTTTGCTGGAATTTTGGACTGCTCTCTCACTGGAATCGCTGCACGTGCGAGGGTCATGGCCGCACGTGCGAGACCAACTGCCGCACGTGCGGGGCTCACAGCCGCACGTGCGGCCCATGTTGGAAAAAATGGCTTGCTCCGTTTTACGTTCTCGACCCTCTGATATTTTTAGAATTTGTATTTGATACCTTTTTGATGTATGTAAATTCATTTGAAGCGAAATGAGTCCGAAAATGATGCAACAAGGAAAGGAACTAATGTGTGAGCTATGTATGTGTATAGGTCATACCTCGGGAAGGTCAAGCACTCCGTCGTTGCACTGTGAGTAATAGTACTACAAATGTACATTATTTACCGTTAATACTTCTTATTATTAACATTCTGTTTTCCGTGAGCAATGATATGTGGATAGAGAATTAGTGTGAACTTGTGCGGTCATTGAAAGATTCGGCATACATCGCTGTAATTCTGAGATTAGTTTGTATTTCGATTACGGATAATGATTATCGGTAATGTGCTACACCCTATGAATGATCTATAATTCTGCATAAGAATTTCATACCAACTATTCATATAATAGAATTAGTTAACAAAAAGAGTTCGTGGGAGTACACTCCGCTTGTCAGGAACATGATATGCTGAATGGGAACATGATATCCCGAGTACCCTATTAGGGATTCCTATAGTCTGTTGGGTAATACATGTCTTACAACATAGGTGTTTGCCTATAATAGATGAACATAACTGGGATTGCTTACTGTTGAAAGGCATTATTAACGTTTTGTTATCTATACATTACCTATATTGATTTCTAGTGAACAAGCGAAACAATGATGCTCCTATATTCCGAATCATTTTGTTTTGTCAATGATGAATCAAGACTGTTATGAGGTAAATTATTCCGTTCTTATTGATTGTACTATAATGATACTTGTGACGTCTAGCAAGGAGTGTTGTCAATGTTCTGACATACATAAGATGATTATGCCCATTTGTAATAAACTATGAGATGATTTATGTACACTATTCTGTGACGGTATTCATATGAATTTGGGATTTTTCTGTTCAGTTTATTCGTTCTGTTTATGCATCCTGTCTTGTTAATTCGTTCCGTTTATGACGTGATATAATATGAATTGTTTGGAGTTTAAAACTTATTGATTGCTGGTATGGAACAAAGTGTCGTACAGAACTAAGTGCTACACTTTGGTAGGAGCCACCTCTAGAATTCGTGCGAGCCACCTCTTGAGTCCATACATATATGAACTGGGCTTAAAGCCGTTCTGTTATTTCTGGGTCGATGGCCATTCTGTTATTTCTGGGCCGATGGCCGTTCTGATATTTTTGGGCCGATGGCTGTTCTGATATTTCTGGGCCTATGATCGTTCTGTATTTGTTAGGCCTATGGCCGTTATGATATTTCTGGGCCGATGGCTGTTCTAATATTTCTGGACCTATGGCCGTTCCGTATCTGTTAGGCCTATGGCCGTTCTGTACATTACTGGGCTGAAAGCCACTCTGTTAAGAAAACTGGACCCATGGCTGTTCTGGAAATAATTACAGAATGTAATTAATCATGTGCCTCTACAGTTATATGCTTTGTTATTTCAGTTAACTATTACTTTATATATGTTCTACTATTCACTGAGTTTTACTCACGCTGTCTTTTGTCTGTTTCTGTAGGTAAACAACCGGGAAGCCAGTTCTCATCTTTAAGGCTTGTCTCCCTTTTGTCAACCTCAATGTGCCCAGGCACTTAGGATGAAGCTCGTGCATTTTGTAAAGTTTGTTAAGTTTTCGATTGTGCTTCAGTTGTCTGTCTATGGTTGACTGTATATAAGCCCTTCTCATTCATGTTTTTGTTATGCGCCCGATTAGGGGCTGGTTTTAAGTGTGTGCATGTATGTGAATAACGCTTAGGTGTATCTTTTCTGTATATCATTTACCTATTATGATGTTCGCGATCCTGGCATACTAGTGGTAGCTCGATGGAATAGAGTTCGTTTTGTTATCAGGTGCTTCCGTTCAGGCCCATATGTTACTTATGTCACTTTTGATGTCTGTGTCGGAGGTAGTCATGCCCAAACTTTTAGGGGCGGTTTCGGGTCATGACAAGGTTATTGTTAGAAGGAGGTGGAGTATTCAAAATGATAGAGGTAATGTTAAGAGGGAACATTAAAGAAAGTCTTACAACATCCCATTCACCATGATCAGTAACAAACTCAGCCACAGAACTAGAACTCTCAGTAGTTGTATGGTTGGTTTGGTGTGTGTTGGGCATTACATCCGCAAAGGATTTATCCCTACACCACCAATCCTTCCAAATATCTACCAAAACACCATTACCCAATTTCCATTTCACTCGTGTTCTAAGGATATGCCTAGTTTGGAGAATGCTTCTCCACAGAAAGGAAGCACACTTCCCTTTAGTCCAAGTAAAGAATTGAAAGTTCCTCAAATACTTGCAACTGAGAAGAGTGCACCACAAACTATCTTTTTTAATCAAAAGTTTCTAACCCAGTTTAGTCAGAAGAGCCAGGTTTTGATCCTTGGCTTTTTTGATACCAAGTCCACCAGCATTTTTTGACTGGCAAACCTTATCCCAGTTAACCAAGTGAATTTTCTTTCTCTCAGGGGTATCCCTCCACAAAAAATTTCTATTAAGCTTATCAATCTCATCACACACTTTCTTAGGCAAAGCATTAGTTTGCATACTATAAGCAGGGATGACAGAGCTCACAGCTTGAATAAGAGTAGTCCTGGCAGCCAAGAAGAATACTTTAGTTTTCCACCCAGCCAAACTCTTTTGCATTCTCTCAAGGATATGGTTAAAATGCCCTCTTATGACTCCCCTATGCATAAGAGGGACCCCTAGATACTTCCCTAAATCAGAAGTTAGGGGGATACCACACTTAGCACTCAAGTCCCTAGCCATCCTCTTATCAACATTGGAGGATACAAACACCTAAGATTTTGGGGTATTGATCTTAAGCCCAAAAATTACACAAAATTCTTCCAAAGAGATCTTAATGGTATTACAAGTTCTCATATCAGCTTTTCCAAACAACATTAAATCATCTACAAAAAATAAATGGGTTAGGCATGGACCCCCTCTAGAGGTTTGGATGCCTTTCTATTTATTTTTTGCAGCTTTCATACTGATCATGTTGGAAAGTCTTTCCATGCACAAAACAAACAGGTAGGGAGATACTGATCATTGTCTTCTATCATTTGCGCTTTTATTAGGGATTAAATATTTTGACTAAAAAATTAAAAATCATTATAAATTATTATATTATTATTTTTTATATATATTTTTTCATACAAAATTAAAAAAATTATTAAAATAATTTATTCTCAAAGGAGAACTTAAGGTGTTTTGAAAAGTAGGTTAATAGTTAATTTTTTTGAATTTTTTTAACTTTTAAAAAAATATATATAAAAAATAAAAGCCAAATGTCAATATAAGCCAAAATCATGAGTTTCACTTTAAAGTGTTTTGAGAATGTGGTTAAAATTTGATTTTTTTTACTTTTTTTGATTTTTTAATTTTTTAATTTTTTGTAAGAGTGGAAGTGAGCTAAAACTAAGGGCAAATTACAAACACCCCTCAAGGTTTGGTGAAAATACAGATTCCCCCTAAGGTTTAAGAAATTACATCCCACCCCCTGAGGTTTATATTTTCATAACAAATTGTCCCCTGAGATTTTTATTTTCATATAGATTCCCCCTAATTTCTTCTAATTTTTTATAAAAATTTGATCCGCAGAAAATAATTTGTAATTTTTCAAACCTTAAAAAAATCTGTATTTTTATAGAAGGGGTCTGTAATTTGCCCTGAAACTAAAAAGTAGTTTTACCCATGATGCCTTTTATCAACCAATCACAATTTCCCGACGCACCATGCACTGAGGTAGACTTGAGAGAAACATACAGATTACGCATTTTTCTTATCCTCACACCCTCCACTGCATTGGCCTTCCAATCTCCTCCACCCAACCCAATCCAAATCCATAATTCACTCTCCACCCAAAATCCAATCCCCACACTTTCTCTATTCTTAATTTCCCTCTTCACAAACAGCACATTCTTTCTCTCATTTGTATCCCCATTATCTTCTCTCTCTTCATCTCTTTTTTTATTCAGCATCACAATTCCACAAACATGGCTGCTGCAGTAAGTGCCGCAGTCTCCCTCCCATCCTCCAAGTCTTCTTCCCTTCCAACGCGAACCTCTCTCATCTCACCAGACAGAATCAACTTCAACAAGGTACAATTCCACCTCAAATGCACTATATATATACACACATACATAGGTGTGATCTTTGTTTTGTTTTAATTATTGTTCTTGAGAACGAATGAATTTCACTATAAATGTATAGATTCTTTCTGAAATTCACAAAGATTATCATCAATCCTACAACCCAGAAATAACCCAAAATATTCTATGAAGTTGTTAATGGGTAATAAACATTATCCAGGTTGAATTCGACACACAACCATGACATATCTTACTGTTTGCTTGGAGTTAATTGATGACATTAATGGGTTTTGTGTATGCAGGTCCCTTTGCCCTTATACAGAAATGTCTCTGCAGGTGGGAAAGTGGTTGTTTCTATCAGAGCCCAGGTCACAACTGAGGCTCCTGCAAAGGTTGAGAAGATTTCCAAGAAAATGGAGGAAGGTGTGGTGGTGAACAAGTTCAGGCCCAAGGATCCATACGTTGGTAGATGCCTTCTTAACACTAAGATCACTGGTGATGATGCTCCAGGCGAAACTTGGCATATGGTCTTCAGCACTGAGGGTATCTATGTCCTTCCATTCTTTTGCCCCTTTTCTTTATGTTTTAAAACGTAAAATTGATTTGTGCAAATCTTTACACTTTGGCTGTGTTTGGTTCTTGGATTGGGTAGGGATTTGGAAAGTGAAAGAAAAAAAAAGTGTGTGAAAGATGTGTAGAAGAAGATTATATTTCATTCACATTTCATCTATCTTTTTCTTTCATTTTCCAAATCTCTCACCAAATCATGAATCAAACAATATTAGGTCTTTAGGTTCCTTTTGAATAGATGCCTTTTAAATGAAGGGATTTTGTGGCTAAATTTTATAAAAATATTAGGCAAATCATACTATGTGGTCCCAATAACTTGCATCCAATTGTATCAATTTTGACTTTTAATTTTTTATATTGTGCCAATTTAGTGCAATTGACAACTTTCGTTGAGAAATTAGACAAAAATCAAGCCAATTCTAAAGGGATTTGACCATTTTGAATTGGACTTCAGCCCGTAAATCACTTTGAGGATAGTAAATGGACTATTTTGCCCCTGTCCAATTGCTAAGGAGGAGTTATGAATTGAACTAAATTGACATAATATAAAAAAATTCAATGGTAAATTAATGTAATTGGACCAATTGACACCACAGGTAAACAAAAGGGACTATGGTGTAATTTGCTTAATATAATATAGACCTGGGGAAGGTAGAGTATTAGAGTCCAATAAAAAGATTTGTATTTTATTATGATCTTTATGCATATACAGCACTATGAACGACTGCAAATGACAACTCTATTATTATTTCAGATTCATGCTCTCAAATTTTAACTTTAAATCCGTATATAAATTTGAGCTATTCTTGAATGATTAGTGTCCAGATCCTTTTATTTCAAACCCATATGTCCAAACAAAACCTTAATTATGTAAAATTGTGTTTGTTTGACCTGATTATATAATATAAGGTTTTACGAGTTTTTAAGCTAATTGGTTTGTTGGCTGATTAGGAGAGGTCCCCTACAGAGAAGGGCAATCCATTGGTGTAATTGCAGATGGTGTTGACAAGAATGGGAAGCCTCACAAGCTAAGGTTATACTCAATTGCTAGCAGTGCTCTTGGTGACTTTGGAGACTCCAAAACAGTAAGCTTTTTAGCTCAGAGTGATTTTACACTTGCTATGTTATGGGTTTGTCTAGACACCTGTCAAATATGAATCCCCAAAGGTCTGTTTTTGAAGAATCCATTATTTATTTTTTTAAATTATTAAGCAGCATTGTCTCTTTGCTTCATGTAGGTGTCATTGTGTGTGAAAAGGCTTGTGTACACCAATGACCAAGGAGAAATAGTTAAAGGAGTTTGCTCAAACTTCTTGTGTAAGAATGCACGACTCTATCAAGTTTGGCCTTTGCTGCGATTTAATCTTTACAACATTCTCAATCCAAATGGAAATTAGCCGCCCCTCCTTGTTTCAAGAATTTCTAATAAAAGTTTATTTATTTAATTTTTTAGTTCTTCTACTTGCATAAAAACATATGACAAAACTGAACACAACCATCTCACATGAGTGTAGGACCTACCTCATGTGAGAGTTGTTTCCAGTTCTGTGATCAGTTTCTATATTCCTAGACTTTTCCTTTTTTCCTTTTTTTTTTTTTTTTTGAAAAACAAGTAGAAATGTTTTAGCTAGTATGCAATACAGCTTGACATGTACTGTGTTTCAGGTGACTTGAAGCCCGGAGCTGAAGTTAAGGTCACCGGACCTGTTGGGAAAGAAATGCTTATGCCTAAGGATCCCAATGCCACCATTATAATGGTAATACTTCAATAATAGCATTTGTCTTCTGTTGTCTGCCTGATCATGGATTCAATTCGACTGTTTGCTACATCAAGGACTATTATTTGATTTTTTAATTACTTCAATAGGTTGTTATAGTTTGATGTTTGTTGCAGCTTGGAACTGGAACTGGAATTGCTCCTTTCCGCTCATTCTTATGGAAAATGTTCTTCGAGAAGTATGATGATTATAAGGTAAATCAATCACAAATGGATTATTTTTCGTGACCTCTCATTTGAATACTCGCATACACCACAATTGAAGATAATTATCTAAACTTGAAACAATGTGATGAAGATTTTGATTGTTGAATTAAAAGCATATGGGATCATAAAAACCATTATAAACTTCTTTTATATCTCATCTCATGGCAGTTGTCATGTAAGAGTTGGATCAAAGGCTATATAATGGAAAATCAGGCATATTTTCATTACAGGCCATTTGATGGGCATTATGCTAAGATATACATTGCATGGTTGCTCTGTGCATTTGAGTGATACTAGTGCAATCATGTGATTAACTCAAGTCTCATCTCATGGGTGATTTTGGCTTGACATATTTGTAGTTCAATGGTTTGGCATGGCTCTTCTTGGGTGTCCCTACAAGTAGCTCGCTGCTCTATAAGGAAGTAAGCTAAGAGTTTTCACTTATCGTCAGATTATTTATTACTTTCATAGATCAAATTCAGTTGGCAACGGAAACGCTGATTGTGTTTGGGTGGACTAGGAATTCGAGAAAATGAAGGAGAAGGCCCCAGAAAATTTCAGGCTTGACTTTGCTGTGAGCAGAGAGCAAACTAATGAGAAAGGCGAGAAGATGTACATCCAAACAAGAATGGCTCAATATGCAGAAGAGCTATGGGAATTACTCAAGAAGGATAACACCTATGTTTATATGTGTGGGCTTAAAGGCATGGAAAAGGGTATTGATGACATAATGGTTTCATTGGCTGCCAAAGATGGTAAGGAATGTTGTCATAATTATTAATGGCATCAATATGTTAAAAATTTATATATCAAATTGGTACGTTATGCCTCCCAACTTCATGTTTGCTCTGTTTTTCAGGCATCGATTGGATGGTCTACAAAAAGCAATTGAAAAAGGCAGAGCAATGGAATGTTGAAGTCTACTAGTGCTTTCTTTCCTGTACAAATATCGTATATGATTTCCTCGCATTCTGTAGATAGGTAACCTCTTTTGTAATCCATTCCTCTTCTTTTTTCTTTTTTCTTTTTTCTTTTTTGACTTATAAAGGAATTGTATCATTGTGGCCTCTCCGAAATTTTTTTTGAGAGCATGTATCAAAAATATAGTGGAAACCAACATCAACCTTTTTGGATGGATTGTCAATTTGATATTTGTTTCTCAATTTAGTAATTACCCACACATTAACTAAAAGAGGAAGGTGGAAAATTCTTTCGTTAGAATACGGATTATGATCTTGTCTAATGTTATCCCGTGTCTTGTTGAGAAACAAATATTAGAATAAGATCCAGGGTTCTCAATTCTTCGTTCATTTTAAAAACGAATGGGAAAACTTGGAGAGTGATTCCTAGATACTACATTCAATCTTTTTATGCAATGATTTTCATTTATATGCTTTCTATTTGGATTGTATTCGCACCTCATGTTGAAGTTTGTGAAAATTGCATGCAGGGTTTGGTTTGATTGAATGAAATCAAATTATTGTTGAATACCTTCTCAAAGTTTAACTCCTCAAGGTTTGAGTGTATATAATGATAAATATGCTTGGCGTGCGTAGAAAAAATTGTGATGTTAATATATTCATTGTTCAGAATTCAAAATTACTGTGGGTTGTTAATATATTTTTAGTTATAGGTAGTTTTTTAGCCCTTCCACTAGCTCATGTATTTAGATTTATGAGGTAGGTATTGATAGGTTGATTTTCTGATTATTTTGGATTCATTAATTATCACACATTTATAAATTATGAGATTAAAATTAAAGTAATCGCACATAATAAGAGACTCCCAATTTTTATATGAGAATTCCAAATGAGAAAGCTATGGGACCATAGTCCATTCAACCAATCTATTATAATAAAAAAACAAAATAACTTGTAATCCAAATCTATGGACTTATCGGAGATTCACTTTAAAGAGTTGACTTGTTAATTAGACGTCTTATAATAAATTAGTAAATATATATATAAACGTGTATGAATACGAAATAATCTTTTTATATAATCATGTTGATTAATTTTGTGTTTCTCCAAATGTTGTCATTTTGCTACCTGAAACCAAATGTGTATTTCTCCAAATGTTGTCATTTTGCTACCTGAAACCAAATGTGTATTTCTCCAAATGTTGTCATTTTGCTACCTGAAACCAAACGTGAGGTAGCCTGCATGTGTATGCCAAAAGTTCTTCCGATGCCTAAATCAATAAGTAGACAATAGACAATAAGCTCTATGTATTTTTGAGTAAGAATTGCAATACCTGGAAATAGGTGCAGTCATGAGCTTTTATAGATTTTATGTGACACAATCCTAACAGAACTCTAACTCTCCTTAGCAGAGTCCTCCTTGAAATCACTTTCCCACAGGATAAAGTCTATTTTGATAATATCGTACTCACTGCCATCCAAGTGAGATGGTTATCACCTTGCTCGGCTCACTACATCTAGCTGAGCTATCTGGTGCAAATACTTTGATGGGGCCGCACGATCACCAATTGCTTTGAATCCTCTCACTGGGCTACCTTTAGCTCGGCTTCCTTTTTGTGGCCGACATAGCACTTTGGCTAGCCCACTGACCGCATCTAGAACTCACCGACTGGCTTGTCAACTATTGTTTTCACACCGAGCTATCCTGAGCTTGTAACTTGGCCCACAATGAGGCCCAATATTCAGAAACAACGCTTCCTAGGTTGGCCCAATTTGGCTACACAAGTTACCCTCTCAATTACTCCTTAATTCCATCTGCGAAGTATGATTGGGATTATTTTCCTCCAGCAGAGCTAAGAACGCTCAACTCTGCCGAGCTAGAAAAGTTGTTCGATCTCACAACTCGTTCGGCACCAACAAGCCTAGTTAGTTGCTCAGCATGTCCTTCCACTACTCTGGCATGTCTGATACGACGTCATTCTTAGGACACGCGGCGTGCCCTTATTAGCCCCGTTCTCCTGTTACAGCCGTCATGCATCCCTAAAAATTTGAATAGTCCCGCCTTTTTGCCTTCAACGTATATATCCTTTGAATTCGCAATCGTACGACGAGTCGTTCTTTTTGTGTCTCGCCAAGCAAACTAACTCGGTTTATATTAACCCTGCCAAACTTCTTTGGCCGAGATAATCATCTTGGTCCAAGAGTTCAAAAAAATGTTGGTCAAACTTGCTAGCCCACGTTGGCTGAGATAACCATCTCGGTTAAATAGTTCAAAAAAATTAGTCAAACTTGCCAACCTTCCTTGCCTGAGATAACTGTTATCTCAGGCAAAGAATTCAAAAAAATTGTTGGTCAAACCTGTAACTTGTTTTGGCCGAGATAACTCTCATCTCGGTCAAAAAGTATAAAAAATTTTTGGTCAAACCTGCTAACCTTCTTTAGTCGAGGTAATCATCTCGGCCAAAGTGTGCAAAAATTTGTTGGTCAAACTTGCTAACCTACATTGGCTAAGATAACTGTCATCTCAGTTAAAGAGTACAAAAAGTTGTTGGTCAAACATGCCAACCTTCTTTGGCTGAGGTAACCATCTTGGTCAAAGAGTGCAAAAAGTTGTTGGTCAAACCTGCCAACATTCCTTGGCCGAGATAACTGTAATCTTGGTCAAAGAGTGCAAAATGTTGTTGGTCAAACCTGCCAACCTTCTTTGGTCGAGGTAACCATTTACGGTCAAAGAGTGAAAAAATTTGCTAGTCAAACCTACCAATCCACTTTGCCTCCAGTCGAACAAAGATTTGTTAAAAAGAGTTGGTCAAACCTGCCAACCCATTTTGCCCCCAGTTGGGCAAAGATTTTTGCGCGGTCAGTCCTTCTTGTCAATCGTGTTATCCAATATTGCTATTGTGTCAGACTCTGCCTTGGCACACGCCGCATCTTTCTCTACCCGGATGTGTTGGTGCACTCTCTCTATTAAGGCTTCTATAGTAAGAGGCGACGTCATTGTCATTGAATCCCTCAACTTATGACCATTGGCAAACTCCGCTTGTACTATTTGTACTGTGCAATAGCTAGGTTTGTGAGGCAATCGCCTATATGGTTGAAGGTCTCATAATATCTATCGTTGTAAGCCTTCAATGTTTCTTTCTCGTCCATGTCCATGGCAAGCAACTGGTCTATCTCGACTGGGGTCTTGGTGTTCGTCTTAAACCTGGTGACAAATGCCTCCGCAAGTTGTGCCCATGAAGCGATGCTACCTTCTGGCAACCTTTTAAACCAAGTCAAGCCTAGGTCGCCTAAACTTGACGGAAACAAGATGCACATTAGAGCTTCGTTCCGCCGATGTATGGCCATAACCTGGCGAAAGTGGCGAAAGTGCATGTAATGGTTCGATTTTCCCTCGTAAATTGTGAACTTAGGCTAGTTGAAGCCCAAGGGCAGTGGTGTGTTCTCTATTGCTGGAATGAACAATGAGCTTTACAACCTTGGTAACGCTTTGTCTGCTGGTTCGTAAGCAAGGTGCAACATTGAAATTCTGACCTCGACACTTCCATGTGTCCTAGGGGCTAGTTGCTACAGAGCAGAGACCCTTTGGGGGTCATGTGCATGAGCGTCTTCCTTCCTTCGAGTCCTTTCTTCTAGCACGGTCCACAAGTCCGCCAATCTAGGTAATTCGGTGTGCCGAAAGGTCGTTTGGTGTGTATGTAAGGGTTGATAACTACTTCCCTCTGTGTAAGATCATTCAATCCTCATTCTCTCAGACCTAGAGTAACGAGTTCTAGAAGTTTTTTATTATGTGTTGCCTGTTCTGAGGGTTCTGCTTTCAAAATGCGAATGTGTGGCTCACCTGTCGCGATCTCCTGAGTGGCGAGTACGCGTTTTGCTTTCGCGAATTTCCACTCCTGCCATGCCTTTACTATTCATTGGGCGTTTCATGGCCTTCATGTCTGCTGCCATTCTCCTTATCAATTCGTCTTGCTCTCTTACTCGATCCTCCAAAACCTGGGCATCCATTCTCCGCCTCTGTCCATTTGGGCTTTGAGAGCGACGAAGGTTTAAGCCCCATTTTTCTCACGCGTCCCTATAAGGGTTTCGTAAATCTGCTATGGACGGAACAAAAATAAAATCCTCACGCCTCCTATCCCCTTCTGGAGTTTGTCCATCGATAGCAGACTAAGGCAAGTCTTCGTTGTGTGCCATTGAAATCAGTTGAAGAAAAACTCAATCAAAAGATTTGTTCTCTGTGATATTTCCCACAGATGGCGCCAATTGTACGAGCCCAAAATAATCTTTTCGTATAATCTTGTTGACCAAGTTTGTACTTTTCCAAACGTCGTCGCTTTGCTACTTGAAACCACACGTGAGCTAGCTGGCGGGTGTGTGCCAGAAACCCCTCTGATGCCTAAGTCAGCAAGTAGACAATAGACAATAAGCTCTATGTATTTTTCAATAAGAATTGCAATATCTGGAAATAGGTACAGTTGTGAGTTTTTATAGATTCCACATGGCACAATCCTAGTAGGACTCTAACTCTCCTTAGCAGAGTCCTCCTCGGAATCACTTTCCCACAGGATAATGCCTATCCTGATAACATCTTACTCACTACCAACCTAGTAAGATGGTTATCACCTTGCTCGACTCACTACGCCTAGCTAAGCTATCTGGTGCAAATACTTTGACTAGGTCGCACGATCACCAATTGCTTTGAATTCTTTCGTCGGGCTACCTCTAGCTTGGCTTCCTTTATGTGGCTGACATAACATTTCGGCTCGTCCACTAGAAAAAGTATGTCAAACCTACCGATCTTCTTTGGTTTAGGTAACCATCTCGGTCAAAGAGCACAAAAAGTTATTGGTCAAACCTATCAAGTTTTTTTAGCCGAGGTAATCATCTTGGTCAAAGAGTGCAAAAATTTATTGGTCAAATCTGCCAACCTTCTTTGGCCGAGGTAACCATCTCAGTCAAAGAGTGCAAAAAGTTGTTGGTCCAACCTACCAACCCGTGTTAGCCGAGATAACCATCTTGTTCAAATAGTTTTAAAAAGTTGGTCAAACCTACCAACCTTCCTTAGCTAAGATAATTGTCATCTCAGGCAAAGAGTTAAAAAAATTATTGGTCAAGCCTGCCAACCTGCTTTGGCCGAGATAACCATCTCGGTCAAAGACTGCAAAAAGTTGTTGGTCAAACCTGCCAGCATTCTTTGGCCGAGGTAACCATCTTGGTCAAAGAGTGCAAACAGTTGTTAGTCAA